GACCAGACGTCCCACTTTTGGCGGGACATTCCCGATTTTTAACAATTTTTCTTGTGTTCCACGGCATTTTAAAAAAGTCCCGATTTTTGGAAAGAATGCACGACAAGCTAGGGTATACGGTTTTCGGCTGCCATGTAGCTATTTCGCCAGGATATGAGTTTTATCAATGGTGCCCTGCTTTACCAATGTTAAAATCTGGTCACCTTAATTAAAAGTCATGTGGGTGTTAACAGATAGGCATTCAAATATCTGGAAAGGACTTTTTTTTTTTTAATCAATGCAGTCAAGATCCCTTTTTGCTTGATTGGGCCAAAATGATAGGGATTGGAGGCTAAAGATGTCCAAGAATGTTAATTGCTGTTAAATATCATGGAGTTGGTTTCAACTTTACATGCAACGGAAGGAAACGCTGCCCAGTCCTGCCACCCTCTCCCAATCTTGTTAGGATGATCACTGTGTCAATCCATTTTACTGGAAAACGAGCCCGTCTCAACGTTTGATGGGGCATCCTGGTAGAGCATCCAGGTAGAAACGAGACCACCGGCAATGTTAACTGAAATGAGGCAGTGTTAAAATGCTAACTCTACAAACTTGCAATCACAGATGGACTCCCAATGGGTAAGGATGGAGGTAACCAGCTCTTCCACTTCTTCAGCTACTCGGCAAGTAGATTGAGGCTAATTTGGGGGACCTTTTAGTATTACAAAACCAACACGCACACAATGAGTCAATTCTGACTCAGGCTGACTCCAAAGTGTGTCAAAGTAGAACCAAGCTCCATTGAGTTGTCAATGGCTGATCGTTTAGAACGAGCTTGTCAAGGCTTCTTCTAAGAAGCTTGTGGGAAGACTAGACCCTCCCGCCTTTCAGTTATCAGCGGTATGTGCTAACACTTTGTGCCACCCATGTATTCTCTTTAGAACTTAATGACTGGCTTTGTGGTAAATCATAAATCGCCTGTAAAATGTATGCATCTTAGGATAATTGCATTATGCTGAAGAGAAGTTTGTATATAGAGAGATGTAGATTTCTTTAAAGTGAATGCTTCACAATCATACACTTTTGAAATTCATCACATCGAATAAGGAACTTGAAGCTAAAAGGAAAAAAAGCCTTTGGAATATTTCAGAGGGAAAATGAATTAGTCTCGGGCTCTAATCCAAATGCACTTCCCATCATTTGATTTAAGCTACTGAGAGAGCTTGAAAACATCGTACAGATTGTGAATGCACTGGCCAAACCCAAAGAGCAACACATCTAGAGATGGAACATTGTGAAGTGATTTTAGGTCTTATCATGTATTTGTTCAGCTGTTGTACGAAGAAGAGGTGTGCATGTAAATTATCTGAAAATGTGTGCATGGGATTAGAGGATAGAAGGTTCATTTAATAAACGGACTGATCATTTTATCATTGAGCACTTACTATGTTCTGAGGACTTTTCGGGGAGGTAGGGAAATAACTGGGGTCAAAACAAAGTCTATTCTTTCATTGAACATAAATTTGGAGAAGGTCAATGGACCTACAAATCTATAAGCAATTGTCTAATCGAGTAATGATAAGTGTTAGGAAGAAAAATGAAGCAGTATTAAGGGAGAGGGAGATATTAGAAGTGTTGTTTTTGATAAGCAGACGAGGAAGGAGGTGCCATTTATAGAGGGCTTGGATAAAGTAACAGTGAGACATGCAGGTGCAAGGGGACTTCAAACAGTCATGGAAAAAGGAATGGAAAGATAACGGTGTTTTTGCGCAAACGTTTAAAAGTCTCCTCATATTTGGGGTTAGAATGTCCAAGAGGGCCGAGTCTAGGATGATCCCGGAGGTGGGAGCTGCTGGGCGCTGAGGCGTCTCCACCACCATGGCCTGCTACTTGCCATCCTGCCCATTGAGCCTTTATTTTCTCGTCTAAAGAGAGCAGCTAACCACCTTGACTTCCCATTCTTTGCATTGGGGTTGGATAGAGTACTTTTTTAAGGCTGACAGGCCAGGCCAAGATGTTGGAAAATATGGAGTGCACCTAATGATACACAGGTGCTTCAGATGATAAGACAAAGCTCTTACAGTGGTTCTCACCCTTCCTAATGCCACACGCGACCCTTACATACAGTTCCTCATGTTGTGGTGACCCCCTAACCCTAACATTATTTTCATTGCTACTTCCTAACTGTCACTTTGCTACTGTTATGAACCTGGCAACCCCTGTGAAAGGGTTGTTCAACCCCCAAAAGGGTCACGTCCACAGGTTGAGAACCTCTGGCGTATGTGGTGCCAGATAACAACCCTCCATCCTAATTATATGAGATTAACATGTTAGTAAAGTCGTTCACGAAAGAGGAAGACCATGAGGTGATCTTCCTTTGAACCTTTATGGTTTCTTACTGTCAGACTGCCACAGCGTTTCCCTGTGAAGACCATACAATCTCATTCACTTTGTAGTTCTGAGGCCGGGCTGTGGACCTGACCATCAAATGTCTGTGTCGGAAGGAGCTGTACTGGTGGGTTCTTCATGCTTCTTACAGCCCTTCCACAGGCCAGCCCGTTCAGCTTGCTGGGCTTCATGAAGCTCTTGAGCTCAGAGACCACATCTTGGTCCTATTTGGCCTCCCGCACCCCCCACCCCCCCATAGCTCATCATTGTCTTGAATTGTTCCTCAAGTATTAATGCCTAAGTGTCGCCTGAGGAGATTATTAAATAGTGTGGATTCCTGGACCCGACCTCATGAATTTTCGATTCAGCAGGTTGGTGACGGCATTGGAGAAACTGTGCTTTAAACGGGTCTAGCTGGGCAGCACTGTCTGAACAGCATCTCGAAAGGAAGACAGTGACTTGCTCGAGAGCGTGCCCTTCAGCCGTCCAGGCTTCTTCACATGCTCACGCTCCTGTGTACAGGGTTCCCTGCCATCCTCTCCCGACGTTGTTCCGCTCCAGGTTCTTCTCGCTCCCCTCTTTCCCTCTTCATGCACTCTATGGGAGCGAATGAAGAGATGATTAGAACGCATAACAACAATTCATAGAGACTCCACAGGACAGGGTAGAACTGCCCCTGTGAGTTTCTGAGGCTGTAACCGTTAACAGGAGCGGAAAGCCCGTCTTTCTCCCTGACAGCAGCCCAATGTATAACCACTATGTCACCAGGGCTTGTAATGTTAGCCTCCCATAACGGAGTTGGGTTTAGCTTGACATATGACAGCAAGCACTCCATTGTGAGATAATCTAGCATTGAAATGCTCCTCCTGAAGTCTATGGAGGGTCATCAAGCAGGCAGGGTTCACACAACGCATGTGGATGTCTACATACAACCCATTCTTCACTCTAGGATGTTGGGATTGCTTATACATTTTCTCATCCTTCCATCTCTTCAATTGGGACGAAGCCAGGCTTTATTTCTCCCTCGTAGACATAGAGAAGGAAAAGACTGTGGTTTTCCTAACCGTCCGGACTTTAGGTGGTTGGGGGACGCATAGTCCTGGGGAGGACTTTCCTGGGGAGCAGGATGCACTCTCAGAAAGTCGACAGATCTTCTGGCGATACATCTTCCCATTCCCCTCTCACAGATACTCCGGGGCACCACCATCGGTATAAACTGCTGTTGTTGTCAACGTGAGTTACCCTCTGCCTCTAACACCTCTCAAGAGGGCCTTCTGGGTAGTTTTAGCATAGGAAATCAGGCTTTGCATTTAGTTGGATGAAGGGAGAAAAAAATGTGTGGAGAGGGGCACACGGATGCTTTGTGTCTTACTACCTTCGGGTGCATAGCATATATTGATTTCATTTTATTTATCATAATTCTGAGGGAAGTGGTGGTCCCGTGGTCGAAGTCTCTCTTACATGGGAGGCAGGGTTCAGTTGTTGGTCAATGAACGTGAAGCATGACTGCCACTCACCGGCCAGGGGAGGTCTGCATGTTGCCATGAGGCTAAACTGGCTTCAGTGGAGTTTCCACGCATAGGTAGCCTAGAAAGACATGCCTGGTGATCTATTTCTGCAAACTAGCCAATGGAAACACAGTCGGTCACCACAGCCTGATCATGTTGTGCACGGAGTCACCATGACTCCGGGGCTGACTTGACAGCGGCGACATCATCATTATAGTGCCACAGCCACACAGGACATTTAGATAGCCTCTCGGCTTTTCTGCAGAAGCTGAAGGTGGACTGCTTTCTGTCTTTTTTTATCCTTGTTTTGAAAAGCACATGACTTCAACATGACGGTAAATTAAAAAGAAAGCCAAACGCTCTGAGAGGGGTTGAAGGCTGGAATGGACAGGGACTGCTTCCTTCTCGTCCCTCAGTCCTCAGGGTGACTTCTTTCCATTGGCCTCCTGCTCCTGCCTCCATGGCTCCAGGCTAATGACTTGTCATCTGAAGCCAGCCGGCAGGTTGCCTGTGCATGGGATGTGTTCAACCCTGATACACCCAGCATCCAGGGAAAGGCAAGGGTAACATTAAAACATTGGAGTGGCAGAATGAATCGGAGCACTTGCAAAGAGGAATGCTCCTATAAAACGGGAACTCTTGGCAGTAGAGCCCGTGAAAAATGATACCAATTACATACAGCAAAATGCCACCCATCAAGCCGAACATTTTAATTCTCCCTATTCCAGTCTATTTATGACTTTTTGTCTACGACTCTGTGCATGTCTGTAAAAATAAAAAATGGGATCGACCCCTCTCTTAGATGGAAGGGGGTCGGTCCTGCACTGGAGGGAAGAGGATGGCAAAAACAAACAGTGCATTGTGGGAGAATTCCAGGGGACTTTCACAGGGACGTTTCAAATATAACTTTGTCTCTTCATTGATTTTCTCAGTTTTGAGTTGGTTGCATGAAGGAGAGGGGTGACTAATTTTTTTGAGACACTTACATTAATTCAGTTGCCTTTAAGAAATTCTATCTTGATGGATCACTCATAAGATCCAGTTTAGAACCCACAAATGCAGAACAAGACAGCACAGCCCAAAGAAAAACAAGCAAACACACAAGCAACCCTGTCTGTTTTCCAGGGCAACTTGGCCTTGCAGTTTTGCCAGAGATGGTCCTGGGCTCACAGCTGGTTTCCTGAAGGAGTGCCACAAGATGGCGACAACGTCACGGTGGAGAGTGGTCGGTGGCTTCTGCTTGACACCAACACCAGCCTCCTCAACAGACTGCACATTAAAGGTTTGTGAAGTTTGCACATCGGTGACATCGTATCTGTAAATCTGCTGCTCTTTGGGGGTGTGTGTGTGTGTTCTGGATACGTTCCAGAATTTGGTTGACAATTTATTTGCCCATCAATGGAGTCCTTGCTATGAAGAGGAAGAAGTGGTCGGAGGGTTCAAAGTGGAAGCCGTTTCTTTTTGCTTCTTGTAAGCACAGTTGCTTGATTATTTTATTATTATTTCTAAACAAAGAAGGTTAACGGCCTTCTCAAAGAATATGCCTCTTCATCTAAGCACTTTGTGGTCATGCTTACCCAGGGCAGCCCCCATCATCTAGCAAAATGCCCTGAAACTGGTTAATGCTGCTGCCTTTGAAATCTCCTGCCAAGAAAGCCCTGTCTTCCTGCTTTTACCCTGTTGTGGTTTTGACTTCTTGGTCCCATGGAAAGTCATATAAATAGGCTTTCTTATTGCAAAATCGGTCACATAGCTCTAGGGTCCAGGAAGTTGGAATAGACTAAGAATTCAAATCTCAACGTTTCCACCACATCATCAAATGGCTTAGTCAGTTATTTCATCTCTTTGGGCATTTGTTTCCTTATCTGTGAAGTGAGAATAAAACCATTGTCTTCTTCAGTGACTGATAATAGGGAGTATAAAATATTTCCCGGGTAAGGAAGGGTTATCAAAGTGACTCTCTTCATTGGCAAATGAAAATTGCTTCGGCAATATGATTAGTTGTGGCTGCTGATAAAATTGTGCACTAAAACACTCTTCTTTGCTATACACATATTTGATATTTACACAAGCATTTGTTCTGTTGAGGTGAGGGCATGACTGTATGAAGGGAAAATAGGATGTTCTCGATAGACATAAATCGAAGCAATTTTGATACCTTCCTTTTATAGACTGAAGTGGATTTTTCTCATTAGGTATTTTGTCATTCTGTACCCTGCAAGCTGGTTTGTTCTGCAGGATGGAGTGAAGTTTCCAGCTGAACCAGTTAGTTCGTGCTCTTTTGGGGAAAATGGGTCTGCCAGCTTGGCCTCTCGTCCTATGTTTGTGGTCTGTAGATGTGTGCACATATATGATTATATTTCTATGCACAAGTGTGCTTATATATTTGCATGTGGACCTGTGTTTGTGCATGGGTTCATTCATGTAGCCAGGACCTCTGAGGATTGCTACCTCGTTCACACCCATAGACCGCTTGACAGTGGCAAAGTAAAAGGACACATTTAAAGCCTTAGGTCAGAGAAAAGATGTGTTTGCAGGCTTTTAATTTGGACCTACCTATAAGAGCCAAGTTGTGCTGCGTCATGCCCTACCTTCCCTAGGATAGTGTCTTTCTCTTATATTTATTTGTGCAGCTTTTTGGAAGAAGTTTCTCAGCTAAAGCTTCTTCTTGAGTTAGTTCCAGTTAAATGTTTAGTCAAGAAACAAATGTCAAGAGGGTCAAAAACAAAGATGGAAAGGAAGGATCCAAGAGAGAGAAAGGGGACGGGAGAGACAGAGGCATTTGCATTCACGATACACTTGGCTTCTCACTCTAACAGATCTTAGCAACCCAAACGCTTGCCCAAACCTGTCACCCACCAATAGTGTTTTTCCTGAACATTCCTGAATTAGCCAGTATTCTATTTTTATGTTACATAGAAGATGATACAATTATTAGGATTGCCAAATGTCTTATGGAGGCTAAATTATTTGGACCAGGGATATATATATCCTCAAACTCCATTTGTATATCTA